TTCTCCTAAAAGCCCTCCCTTGCATTTGGATAAAGTCTAGCGGGGCTACCTTTGCGTCACCCCTTCCCACCCAAAGGGCCCCAGCATGAGACGGATGGCAGTGCCAGCTGCCCCCTACCCACCCTATCCCACTTTCTCCGCTCTGCCGATTAATGCCTGCTCCTTGAAATTTCCTGATAGCCAAAGTGCGGCTCCCATCCCGACGGCTCAATTCTGGGCCTCTGGGAGCAGGGCTGGGCTGGGAAGCTCTTCTTCTTCCTCCCGAAAGTCAGCGGGCTTTCCCTGTGAGCTGGGGGCCTGCTGGCCCTTTCACTGGACAAGAGGCTACCATATGGCTGATGCTTTGGCAGAAGTGACACTTCTTAGGCTGGGGTGGCAGTTTGCATTCCTTGGCATGATGGTCTAGACCTCCACAGTTGAAGCATCTGTCTCCCTTTGACCTGCGCTTCTGCATGTTCTTCCCCTTGGGTCTCCTCTCACTCCCGATACAGAACACCCCACCAGGTCTGATGACTCGGATGGACTCCAGGCCCTTAGCAGACTTCTTAAAGGTGAACTCCACAGCTTCTCCCTCTTTTAGGCTCCGGAAGCCCTCCATGTGCAGCTTACTCTGGTGCACAAAGACGTCCACCGGGGGGTCAAGCGCGACCCTGGCACGGGCGGTCATGGACAGGAAGCCGAACCCCATGCGCATGTTGAACCACTTACAGATCCCGGCCCGGTGCAGCAGCTGCGGCTCCTCCACCGCGCGGCCGAGTCCTCCAGCGACTCCTCTGCCGCCTTGGCGCAGCCACCTGCAAACTGCTGGTTGGACACGGAGCCCATGGTCGTCGGCTGAGCCCGCGGGCCGGGCCCCTGGTCGGTCTCTGCTGGCCCCAGAGAAGTCCGGAGGCAAACGGCCCTAGGCTGTAATCTTTATAGGAACGGCTGGTCAGGCCTTTTCTGTAGTGAAGGTGTCATCCTCCTTCATTGTTGGGCTACTAATCAGACTGACCAGCCATCCCAGGAGACGGATGTTGACCGTCCACTTCACAAAAGATGACAGCTTTGGAAAGCAGACGGGGCAGTTCTACCCTGTCCTGTATGATCAAGGGCAACAGGTTCACCGGGCTTTCTCTGCCTGAGAGGCGGGTTTGTTCTAACTAATGACCTTTTGGCGAGCAGCCCAGCCCTGAAGAGCCAGACACCACCAGAATCTCTGTGTGTGTGCAGTCACGTGTGTGTATGTGTGTGTGCATATGTGTGCATAGTAAGATGTTAGAGAAAAATATGCACATTTGTAAACTGACTAAATTGTTCACCTGGAGGAGGGGGAGATGGTGTGGCTGGTGGGGGAGGGAGAAGTACTGGTAGTTATCATGATTTTTATCGCCTTTTGTGGGCAGAGCTGGTTAATTCACCTCTATAACACTGTTTCCATGGGAAAAATATGTTCCCCAAACTGGAACCGCAAGCTGGAGACCGATGGTTCAAAAATCAAACACTCACTGAGAATTCAAACCGTCCGTAGGTTTCACTCAGGTGTGCAGTCTGTCTTCTTCTCCTGGATGGTCAGATTTTCAATGCTATTGTTCATGAAAACAGCTTGCCCTTCTTCAACAGAGTCTAGTGGGGAGCCGGGCACCCCCTCTGCATTTACACAGCACATGCACACACGTCACAGCTACATCCATGTGCGTGCAAGTGCATATGGCTGCAAGCACGCGCATGCACATGAACACATGTGAGTGTGCCCACAGATTCCACACACTAGCACAAGTAACACACTACCAAAGGATGCACACACATGTGAGTATATGTACACATGGGTACCGGTAAACACACACACACACACACACACACACATGTCTGCCACGCACAGTCCACAGCGTGGAGCAGGTTTCCCGGATCTCAGCCTTTCTGAGGGCTTGCTGTAATTGCAGTGGGGTAGACTTTTGGACTGGAAGATGCGAGTGATAACCAGAGAAGGGAAATGACAGGGCTAAGGTCACATCAGGAGCCCTGGTGGTGTAGTGGCGCCACGTTGGGCCGCCATCCACAGGTCAGCGGTTCCAGACCCCTAGCTACTTCGAAGGAGAAAGAAGAGGCTTTCTACTCCTGTTGGCAGACAGGGTTCTGGAAATCTACAGGGACAATGCTACCTGTCCCATAGGGTCTCTCTGAGTGGCCATCGACTCAAAGACAGCGAGTTAAGGTCCCATTGCTTCTCAGTCGCTGAGTTGGGAGCTAGGAACTCAAGCCCACCGGAGACTCGCCTCACGTGCCCTGAATGTCTCAGGTGGAAATAGTTTAGAGGCAGAAAACACCTTTCTGAATTTTCGATGGATGCCAGGGTTTGGTGCTCGCTGGGCAGCCAGTGGCTCTTTTTCAAGAGAGATGGGGACAGAGACGTTGAGACTTCCCTGCTTACGTGTCCTTTGGGGTCCTATCCTTTTGGGTCTCCCTGTCTTCTGTTGTTTCGTGCTACGCAACGACTCACGCAGTGCTCGAGAACAGAGAATATTGTAAGCAGGTGTGCGTGCGTGCTCTGAATTTGAGGCATCGCTGTAACAACCCTACTGAGCTGTCGTCAGGGAACGCTAATTGTGAACAGGTGTGTTCCAAGGGCTTGGGCACCTGAAAGCCAAGCGGCTGCATTCAGCAGATGCTCCGTATCCCACAAAGGTAACGAGTACTCACACAGCAACGAACAAACGGTCCCCGGATGAACCATTGCTTCAACGACTCTTCCCCAACTGCTTGGGGAACTGTCAGAGGACTGACTTGCTTTTCAGCTTATGTTTTGGCAAGTTGCTTTCTCCCCCACCCCCAAGGAGCCTCCCCCTGGTGCTTATGGGAGTGCTCTTTCCCACAGACCAGACCTCCTCACGGTATTCCCTTCCTCTTTGGGAAGTAAATGCGCAGGGACCTTTATTTCTTGCCACCCATGGATCGAGCACTGAGCTGGGACCTAGAGATGATTCAAAGAGGGACAAGACAGAAGGAGTTCACAGAGGTGCACCCCACAAATCGTTACAGTGAAATAGAGTGAGATTTGAGGGGAAGGTAGGGCGGAAACATGGTCAGTGAAAATGTCTCAGTGGAGGTGACTATTTCGTTGGGGCGTTGAAGGATGGGTAGGAGTTCCCCGGCAGCTCGGAGCGTAGCTGGAGGAGGAAGACTGCACCAGAGAAGCTCAAAGCCCAGGCATATAGAACCTGGCTGTACTGAAGAAAGGGAGGTGTGCCGGGCAGGAAGGTGTGCCATGGAAGGGGGGTGGGTGGGGAGAGGCACAGAAACCCAGCTCTAGAAGTGGGCAGGGATACATTGCATAGGGACCCCAGCTTATAAGGGGAGCAGGACGCAGCCAGATGGGTGTCTCACCAGCTCATTCTGGCCGCAGACGTGTGCTACTGAAGACAGAGAACCTGGCGTGGAGAGACAAATTTTTGTCCATGTTTTTAACTGCCTTTAGGAAAAACGCATACATAGTAGATGAAAAAAAAAGCATGTGTGTGGGTGGGGAGCCGGGATGTGAAGAGAGTGTGTTCCTATTTCCTCACTGGCCCACCAGGGTTCACATGCTTAGCAGGGATATTAAATATTTGTTTTAGGATGTCTTGAAATTTGAGTGCTTTCAAATAATAAACTTTAGAATCTGGGGATTTGTTGGGATGGGTCCCTCATCTGGATTTATGATTCTGTTTATTCTTGCAGGTGATACTCTCTGGGATCATAGGATTAACCACTTGGAAAAGACCCATGATTCTCCTGGTACGTACAGAGCTTATGAATTGTTGACGTGGGGAAAGTGGGCTAGGCCTGAAGTCTGCATGTGTTAGTCTGGGTACTTTAGAGAAACAAATCCACAGAAACTCATATGTATAAGAGAGAGTTTTATATAAAGGGTAAGTGCGCATCAAGAAAACATC